ACACAGATGCACAGACAAACACACACAAACGACTTTGACTCAAACACGGCTCAAAGGCATAAATTATTGCGGTTAACTGGCTTGGCTGCCGCCGTAGAATGAAGCACGGAAAACGTTGTCAGAGCCGGAGTCGGAGTCGGAGCCCCCCCGCCACCAGCCGGATGGCTTCCCCCCCTCTCTTGTGGGCCAAATGAAAATAGTGCTGGCCTGGCCTACATGCTGGCACATAGTTATTGTTTCTATTGAGTTGGTCGGCTCCCCTTCCCCGCTGGCCCTGCCTGTGACATAATAAGCCAAATAACAAGGAAGTGCCGCATATAATTTCACAGTTTTTCTTCTGTTGTTTTGTTTTTTTGTGGGCCAAAAACCAAAACCAAAGTTTGTGTAAGATTTATGTAAAGAGTTTCGCTTGGAAAGCGATTTCTAGGCAATTCCGTTTTAACTTTCATGATTAATGGCTCCACTTTCGGGGTGGGGGGGTATCCACAGATCCACAGATTTCTGTGCAAGTTTCTGCAAGAAATTCAATTTTCGGGCAATAATTAAAATTGTTAAATAATTTCGAAAGTTAACTAGGCTCTTAAGCGGTGGTTCTAGTGGCTTGATTTATGGGGAGGAGTGGAGGGGGGGACACTACCACTCTTTAAAGTTGCTCTAGCCATAAATCCTTAACAAATCTTCAATTAACTTCTTTCCCTCTGTGGTTTTTTGTCCCAAAAAATTTTCTTTGTGCACTTTTTCCATTAACAAATTTGTATTCCCAACTGTTTGACCCCCGCCATCAGCTTAATTAAATGCTTAGGAGATTGCCAAGTAAATACCTTGAATTAATACCGAAATTCAGGCCCCCAGGTGACCTTCTCCAGAGGTGGATTACAGCCTCTTGCGGTTTATTAGGCAAATGCATTCGAATGCCAAAACCCTAATGAAAAACCCTGCAAATATTTGCAGCTTCTTGCAATTTAGTAAACATTTTCGGGTTTTCTGTTAATTGAATTCGGTTTGGCCTCCAAGTTTGTTTGTTCTTCATATTTGTGGGGGGTTCGAACCAAGGAAAGGGCAAACGTGGGTGGCCAAATGATGGGTTGAATCTGTCACCAATTACGACATGGCCGGCCATCGAAAAGGCGAAAAAGCCTTGGAAAAAGGCCAATTGGGGTTTCGGAAAAGGTTTTCTGGGCAGGAGATATGTCTAAAGTGCTCTGAATGAAAGACGAATAATGACCATGCGGTGATTAATGGCCAACAAAGCGACGTCGAATTGGTTTATTTTTAAAATAAATACAATATACAGCATTTATTGGAAAATTAATGGAGATACCTTCCAGATGGTTCTTTAAGCATATAGATTATATTATTAAATATTTTCTTACTCCTCGTAAAGGTCTTCGAAATCTTCTCCAAGAAACCCGATAGGCTTCCACTGCATTGACCATCAGGCCACTAAACCTTATAGAAAGCGCTTAAGGCCAAAAAACTAAGTGTTTTTCCTTCTACCGACCCCCAACCACAAAGGAACATCCCCCGGCCCCCCTAGTAGCACAATTTATACCTTGGGCTAAGCTTTTTCCTCAACAAAAGTTTGTGAAATTCCCAGTTAATTTTTTCCATCAAATCAATTTCACAGATACGCCGCATTAGAGGCGTAAGGCATACCAAAAGTATCCAGTAGATGGATGGGCTTAGAAGCGATATGTACGGGTAATATGGTCTAATACCCTCGGACATCGCCTTCTCCTGTCTCGATGATGCTTTTAACGAGTTCCCTGCTGATCCTAGCCCTCCTCAGAGGGGCTACGGCCTATTGCTGCCTGGCGGAGTTCGTCCGATACGACGGTTTACGTTTGTGCGAAGACTACAGCCGCCCGACCCCCTACTGCGCGTACGGCAAGTGCAATATTTTCGGTTGCAACTGCGACGGGGGGTGTAGAGACAAAAACAAGCCCAATCCCGTGCCGGGCTTGTACCAGGAGGATCCGAGAAGAAACGCAAGAAAACCAAGAAAACCAAAAAAACGAAAAAACCTAAAGGTTCGATTCAATGTGCGTGAAGGGCAGTGATCCAACTCCTTTTTGGCTAATAAAGGCTCAAGTATTTGTCAGGGGAACATTTTCTTTATTTTAGGGTTAGTCCGTGAAAATAAAACACAAATTTCTAACTTGTTCCAAGGTTTTCCTACAACGAATGAAAGGTTTTTTGGGCAATTTCCAGCTAGTATTTTGCAACCAATCAATTTCATGGACAGAGCACTTTAGGAGCTTGGCTAAATGGCATATCAAAAGGGATAAATACCCGAACCATATCCAGTAAATGGAAGGAAAGGCGGTGTATCCATCGACGGGCGGTAAACAAGGCTCTACAACGTATCGCTAGCCCTTAAAAACAATCCAAAATCTAGTATATTCAGGGGAATTGTGGGTAGAACAAGTCGAGTGCATGATTTGTAGCCTCTTCCTGGTGCAGTGTGCGCCTTCGGGCGGAGTATCGGCCTTGGCCTTTAATGCTTTGATTTAAAAACCGGAAATTAATCGCGATATTTGGAATTTTTCATTAAAAAACTAATTGTTCATTGGCTCAGAGTCTCCATAAATTATTCATGACATTTTTAATGGCACACTAAATTATGGAAAAAGCCTGAAATAAAATCAAATCAACGAAAATCGCTCTCCAGCAGCGGAACGAAACGACACGAGATGTCTGGCCGAATGGCTTGACAAATGTTTAGATTGAATACAAAATATTTGTAGACACCAGAAGTGGGGGGGCGGGGGGCTGCACTCGGAATGGCACTGCATACGAGTACGTCTGGCGAAAGGATTGGAGCAGAGTCCTGGGCTCATCTCAGCCCTCCCTCCGCCTGGCTGTGTGCTCTCCAAGTCAAGTGTCTGGGGCTGTCTATCAAGCGAGTGATTGACATGTGCGAGGCGTGTCAATAAACCGACCGAGTCAAGGGCCGCAAAATTGCAAAAAAAGCAACTCAAAAATGCCAGGCAATCGACATTGAATGGTGGAATGGAGCACCGAAGGAAGATCGAAATTTCAGGCCAGGGAGGGCCTTTAACAGGGAGGTGTTTAGGGATATTCTAGAGCGGGAAACACCACAATTTATGAGAGAGAAGGACCTACTCCTACAGCTCTTTCAAGTATACAAAGCACAAAGATATATCCCATCATTTCCCATAGTATTTAGACCCACAAAAGTCCCATAAAAATCTGTATTTTCTTTCGCTTTCCCACTTTTCTGGTTGCGTATACGCCATGTTGATTTGAACTCTGTTGTTGCCCCAGAATTTCCCGCCGTCTCTCTGATATTTATGATCCTGCAGCATTAATGAAGCATAACCGAAAGTGGGGGGCCCAAAAATGCAAATGCAAATGCAAATTAAAGGCCATACGAATTTATGTTGTGGCAAAGGCAATTAATTAATGGCCGCCACTTGGCGATGGATCCGTGGGACAGGCCACGTATGTAATTTAAAATAAATTTGCACCCCAAGGGGGGGTCCACCCCATGCAATCGCTGTGCCACATTGCGTGAGTGCTGGCATGGAACCTTGAAATGCATTTAAAATTCCAGCCACCTCTTTTGTATTTTGACACGAATTTTTAATTGTTTTCACCCACAGAGAGGGGGAGAGAGGGGGAGGCAGAGAAAGTGGCACATTCGCATTGCACTCTGGGGTTTTCTGAAATAACTAAATATCGCATTTGTTGGGGTTTTTGTTGGGGTTTTTGTTGGGGTTCAAGTGGGTCTCGTTTCATTTGTATGGCTGCCACGGCACCGCCACCACAGGTGTCCCACATTTCGATGACTCTTTGAGCTCTCTTTGGGGGCAAAACACATTACCCGACCCCAGTCTCATCTTCAATACAGCCCCACCCCCTCCCCCTCCCCCTGATTTATCTCCTGGACTCTAAAGTGGGGCATGGGGTGGGGTGGGGGGCGCATAAATTGAATTATGGCTCATAAAATGGACAAGTCGTAAGCGTAAATTATAGTCAATAAAATTGTACATTAATTGCAGAAGCAGTCTCTGAAATATAGATAGCTCTTTTTTAAGGGTGGTTTTTATCCTCAAAAGTTGGTATTTTATGCTCAAATTTTCTATTGATTTTTTAAATAATTTTTAATAATTTTTCTGGGCTTGCAAAATTCGATTAAAACCCCTAAGACAAAAGCCTAAATTATAGCCTATAATGTCTCTCTCTCTCTCTCCCTCTCCCACCCATCTCTGGGGGAACAACAAAAAAAAAGAGCCCAGAGGCAAACCATTTCCAATTGCATAAATATTTAAATAAATCTATCAGACAAATGAAAGCTCTTGTAAATATTTGTAGTCTGCTGTCGTAGACCGAAACACACACACACACAATCAATTGGCAGCTGAAATCACACACCCACACACACACACACAGATAAAGACATAAGCCCAACCGCACACACACACACACACGGAACAGTGCAGATATTGCGGTACGCAGTTTTCGTTTCGTTTCGTTTCGCTGTTGAATGGGCCATAAATGCCGGCTAAAGAAGCGCATAAAAAAAAACTTCAAATATAAGATAAACAAACCGGCAAAAAGATTCACCCACACACGGACACGGTAGGCGAGTGACAGAGAGAGAGAGAGAGAGGGAGAGGGAGAGTCGCAGAGAGGAGAGTTTTTAATGCGCAACGCAAACTCAACAAAATTCCCTTTTGGCACAGGGGAAATTTCTTCGAGAGGGAAGTTTCTCTGGGATTTTGGTCTAAATTATGCCTTTTTGTAGGAAGTAGGAAAAAGGGTCTTTGGGCTGATCAATTCCTGGGTTATGGGGCTATAGTTTTAGGGATGGGCTGCCCAAAGGACATGCTGGAGCTTGAAAGGACCCTCAAATCATCAGAAACCAATTCTTAAAAGGCATAAAAGGTGCTTTTCCAGATCAAAGGGTTATATTTTTGGTTTCTTAGAGCTAAAAGGTTACCTTTTTGGCAAAAATATCCAATAAATGAGCCCAAAATATGGAATTCCCGTTTCAATTTGTGGTTTTCCTTCAGGAAAGCGCTTCGATTGCACCTAGAATCCAATCCTTGTGATAGATCACACTGGAATACATTATGGGAGAGCCGTACCGCCCACCACAGACGACGCCCACCAGCTGCTTGTTCACAGTCAGGGGGCCACCGGAGTCCTCGAATAGTGTGGATTTGTGACTAGTGCCGGCACAAATGACGGCTTCTGTGATGCCAAATTCGGGATACTTCAGTTGGCAGCACGCCCTGCTCACTATGGGTATCGCCACGCCCTGAAGGATGTCGGGGATTTGCATGGCGCCATTCTTGAAGGTCCAGCCCCAGCCGGTGATCTTTGCCTGGGCGCCAGCCTCAGGGTCTTCCCCGGCCAAGCGGATGCTCTGCACTCGATCGCTGAACTCGAGAGGTTCGCTCAATCGAATGACGGCAATGTCGTTTTTCCAAAATTCGTAATTGGAGTATCCAGGGTAATATTTAATCGCCGCCACTCGGTGGAGCGTTCCGCCTTGGCTACGAAGCGTGGAGCCCGCCCGCACTTGCAGCTCCTCGGGGTTTACCCTCGACACGCAGTGGGCGGCAGTTATGACAAAGTCCTTGCTGTAGATGGAACCACCGCAGGCATGGTCTCCCCCCACGACAAGGGACACTTGCCAGGGATCCTCCTCGATGGGCGTGTCCTGTCCGCCTATAATGCGGGGCACACGTCCAGCGGAGAGCAGGGTGGCTGTCGCGAACAGAAGAGAGACTTTGAATAGCATTTCAGGGCCGAGTTTGGTCTTCAAATGGGTAGAACGCCGCCCTTTTATAGGGTCTTGGCGGAGGTAAAGCCAATCCATCATTTCTATATATAGGCTTTGAGAGGCGCTTCGATTTTTCCGATAAGTTTGTTGGTTGAAGAATGCAGTAAATTCTGTGATTTATGAAGGTATGCAGGGGGCTCTTGAAGGCACTTCGTATCACCGCCCACTGTGCACATTCCTGAGGCATGGTGGCGTCTTCCGATCCTACCCCTCGACACGTGCCCCTCTTCTTTCGGAGATACCTATCGAATAGGTAGCAAAAGTCGTGCAATCCATGGAGTATTCCGTAGTATTTCTACTACTTTCAGCAGTCTCTTCAGCGCCGAAATCTTTGGAAAATCTTCCCCCGTTGCAGGCGCCTTTCAGGGAGTGGCACTACACATCGTTCTCTGCCCCAAAGGGAAGCCATTCCTTTGCCCAGAAACGTTCAGGGTCTGGGCATAGATCGAGGAGGGAATTCCACAAGGGCCTCGACTTCCCCGTGGCTTTGGGCTGCCAGATATTCAGGCAAAACTTGAGCTACAAAAAGTCTCAAATATGGAGTGCTCTCTTTTCAATTTATTGACATTCAGCAGAGCGCTTCGATTGCCTCTTCGATGCTGCATCGGAGGCCAGAAACAGTGACTCCCACGAGTTTATTGTCCACCGTCAAAGAGCCGCCGTCGTCGAAGGCATAGAAGGCGACCGATCGTCCAGAAGGCTGTGAAGGACTACGGGCTTCTGCTCCTTGAGATTCTTGTGGCCCCAACCCGTGGTCCTGGCCCTGGAACCCTGCACGGGCTCTTGGTCGGCCTTAAAGGGCTTAAAGGGCCTCCATAAGGGGTTCCTTGTGCCTTAAATTCTCGGTTTAATGGAGGTGCGAGTTGTGTGCCGTTTTTGTTGAAGGTTTTCTCTGATTTCTCCAGTAAATTTGGGACTGTTTAAGCATTTGCCTTGACGCGGAGATTGTTGCCAGTTGCATGCCCCACAATGGGGCACCCAAGAAGGTGAGGCACAAGGAAGTAAAGCAAAAGCCGAGACCGTGCTGCACTTAATAATTATAATTTATTCAAGAGTCAACATTTGTGGGCGCCCACAAAAGGTGCACCTCCTGCCCCGTGCCCCGTGCCCCGCCCCCTTCGGGGGACACACAATAAACTTTAGCCAAAAACGTAATTTACATAGTTTGTATTTTTAATTACAGCCAAGGGGGAGAGGGAAAAGGGCAGAGACCCCCAGACGAGACCCAGTGGAGCCCAGTCCCTGTCAATTGCCCTCCTGGGGGCCTGGGGGGGGGGGCGTGGCAATTGCATTCCAAGATTAATATCCCTGCGCCGCGATGAAGAGTCGCGATGTAACGGACAGCTGTTGACCTTTTGCACTCGTGTTTGCCGAAATTTGTAGAGGGGGGCGGGGAGGGGGGCTTCCGAATTGATGTGCCTCAATAAATGGGGCAACAACAAAGCCCCAACCGAGCTGCCACCCCCACTCGTGTCCATTACACTCCACGCATCCCAGAGACCGCACGGGGCATCATCCACAGCCCGCACCCCGCACCCCGGCTGCCCCGCTGCCCCGCTGCCCCGCACCCCAGTTGACACATGTTGCAGCTGTAACGGCAAGTGGATGTGGCAGGCGGGGTCGGTGCCACACTGGAGTGGCAGTGGACTCTGTTTGCGGTGCAAAGTGATTTGCCATTATGCCACACTGCCTGCCTTCGCTCCAGCGTTGCTTCGTGCCACCCAGTGACCCACCTTTGCTTTGCTTTCTCCTCTGCCCCTCTGCCCACTCCTCTGCCCAGTCCTCTGCCCAGTCCTTTGCCCTCTCCTCTGCCCCTCTGCCCACTCCTCTGCCCACTCCTCTGCCCACTCCTCTGCCCACTCCTCTGCCCAGTCCTCTGCCCTCTCCTCCGCCGCTGTCTTTGGCACTTTGATCATTTGCCATTTGCCTGTTTGCGTTTTAATTAACTTACAGAAGCTTAATGAACTTTCCAGAGCCGAGAATCGAGAGTCCAGGAGCCCAGCAACCCAATCCGATCCAGTCCAAACAGGGGGCGTGCACATGGGCGTATCCCTGGCTTATTAGCTCTTGAAATGGTTCCATCGATTCCTTGTGACATCTGACGACGATTGGGCTCTAGAAGAGGGTATAGAGGAGGCTTGGAAGGCCTCAGAGCGCGATAAAGAGTGCTAGAGTAAGGGCTATATTTCGATCTACAATGAGTGAAAGTAGGGGGAGACAGGCAGGCCTTTGAGCTCCCTGTTTTGGCCTGGAAAGATGGCCTGCATGGGCCTTTATTTGTGTTACATTTCCACCCACTCCCCCCTTCCGAAAAGTCTCTTTAGTAGAGCATCCAAAGCCTCGCCTTGCCCTGGACTGGATTTTCTTTCCCGTTCGGCTCTTGGCCGTCTTACCAGTCCGATTGTTGACGTTCTGTGGCTCAATTTGATCTGCTGTCCGACACCTTGGCCAAGGGCTTAGGGCGCCCCGTAAGCCGCTTAAATGCTAAGCTTTGGATTTCCCCATAAATTCGACTGGCTTTCCTGCCATTTCCCCCCAGCCCGAATCGTTTTTGTAGCCACCAATATTTTGGGTGCGTATTTCCTGCAGAAAAGCATAAATTAAAATGTCATTAAGGTCTGTTCTTGCCACCAAAATGTTTCCACTTGTGCAGTTTCTTGGGGCTGCCACAGCCAAAGCTGTACAACAATTTAGCAAACTCATTTTTATAATTGAGCCAAAAACTCGGCTTCTCAGAGCAAATGCCATTAACAAGGACTTCAACGGGACTCAAAATATTACAATAGAATTATTTCCAGCATAGCGGGGGGGGAGTAGAGGGGGGTGGTGGTGGGGAATCCATTGAATTTGTCGTTTAATTTTCGGGCCAAACATTTCCATCGTAGACTGGGAAGGACCTGCTCCTCGGTGGCCATTTTTTTTTGGACAGCTGTCAAATATTTGATTTGGCCTTGGCCCCAACTGCAGGCGCCACTTGAAGGCCACTTGGCGGCCGTCCTTCGAGCCTCTGGCTGTCTCTATAATTCTAGTTTTTTGCGCCGCTTGGAGTGGCACTTGACACGAATCTTTCTTAAAGATGGCCCATGGACTCGACTCGACTAATTGGCCAGCTTATTAAAGCCCGGAGAGGGGAGGAGCGGGAGGAGAGAGCCATTGAACTTGGAGTTGGAGTGGAGCCAACTTCTGGTTGGCGGCACCAGCTGTTGGCTGGGGAAAACTTTTCCCTCCCCCTCCCCCCACTTGCGCACAACTTTTCTAGCCATAAATTTCCATATTAGGAGCGAGGCACAAACAACTTTAGTTGATCCAATTAACTTACTAAGAATCACTTGGGTCGTCGAAAGTTGAGTGCTCTGAGGGTCCCCCTTTAAATGGTTACTCAATCAATTCTGCAATTGGGTCAGAGGATGGGCCCTGGTTGGTCACAGGATGGTCCCTGGCTGGTCCCTGGCTGGTCCCTGGCTGCTCCCTGGTTGGTCCCTGGTTGGTCCCTGGCTGCTCCCTGGCTGGTCCCTGGCTGGTCCCTGCCATTGTCCTGCGGTTACCCGGCAAGCACTTCTGGCGGCAGAAACGATTGTCAGGCCTTTGACGAGACAATTTTGTATTCATTGCCACTTTAATATTTAGCAATGCGTGAGCCAAGCCCCTGCCCTGCCAGTCACTTCACAGTGAAGTGATTCCCCCCCCCCCCCCCCCTTTCCACCCATTTTCCTTCCCTTTTTTATCCGTTTTTCTGGCCCCTTTTAAGTGCAGTAATTTGCATTGGTCTGCGGACAAAATATCCTTTTACAAATGCACGCCACTCGAAGCGCATTCCGTCGTGTGGGGGGGGGGGACGGAATGTAAATTTCCAGAGTGCTATTTAAATTAACACTTTCATTCACTTTCCCCAAATGGGAAGCCATAATTTTTTGCATTTTGTATGCCCTTTCCGGGGGGGGGGGCGTGGGGCGTGGTGCATTTTATATATTGTAAATCCCGAATTGAGATTAAAACTATTACGGAGAGTGGTTCGAGGCGAATAAAATCCTACTATAAAATAATCAATCATTGAGCCAGGTACTACGAGTGCATACACTGAGAGAAAAGGAGCAATAAGGTTGGAACTTGAATGGAATTCACATTAAAAAGTGTTTTTATTACGAGCCATATTTAAATGAAATAGAAAACAATTTAAAATAAATTTCTAGGCAAAAATATTTCATTAAAATATATTTGTTCCGCTAAGCGCATGCCATGGCAGCACAACAACTACATATTACAGAGAAAAGATCTCCAAGCGCAGCGCAGCTTGTTGTTGTTTTTATTGCTTCCTACGATTGTAATCGCTGCATCCCTCTGTTTTTCTCGTTCGTCAGCGGCGAGAGCTGCGAGGGAGGCTCGTCGGCAGAGCATAAAACCCGACGAGACCGATCGTCATCACAGGTAGAAGTTCCGTCGTCTGCCGCAGTGGCCCCGCCTCCCTAGCATTACAAATCGAAGCAAAAACAACAACTGGAGTACTTTATCGACACCTTTTTGTTGCTGTGATTATTTGAGTTACGCCTCTGGACGAGGTTCTGTGGCTCAACAATATTTGTTTTAAACTTAAAATATATTTCGATAAATTGATTTTATAGTCATGTTTTCCATTTTAATATTTTCCCTTCTCTCGCGGAAAATAGAATGGCATCAATTTAGGTGTAAATCTATCTATCTGTCTATATATGTATCTTTCTTTCTATCTATTTATCCATATTTCTATCCATATATCTATCTATCTATCCATCTATCTATCTACCTATTTATCTGCCTCGTAAGTAAATCTATTTAAATCCAAGTGTAACTTTGCGGGGCTCAGTGCTTTTTTCTGGGAATACCAATGAAATGCATGTTAAATATGTCTCGTATCTATGTTTATGTGAAAAGGGGGACTCTCTTTAGGAATGGAGGAATTTTTGGAAACAAATAATTAACGTTTATACATCCGATGGACTTTTAAATGAAAGACGAATACATCGCAATGATTTATCGCCCTTTTCTATGACCGAGTTTGCAGAGGATTTTCATTAAAAGTTGATTAAAAATTGATTGCTTGAGAGGGTACACAAAATGCGAAACGGATAAGATAATTTTCCTAAATTTTTTGTCCTCCCTTAAGGGAAATTTGACTGCTTTTTATATTGATATCTACATATACATTTATTGGAAGTAATATAATATTTAATGTGTCTGTGAAGTACAAATGATGGCTAAAAAGAAACGCAATTGTTGGATATCGCAGAAACATTTAAATATTAAAATGCATTAAATGTTATTTTATTTGAATAAATTCCTGGAAAACGGAATAAAAGTTTCCCTGCAGACACTCGGGCATAAAGGAAACGCTCAAAGCTTTGATCCACCGAATGTTGCATATATTTGCGTGCCCCCCCGCTGCACTTTGACCGCTTTTGAGAGGGTGCAGCCAGCAGCGCCCCTCGTCTCTGGCTTGCAACTCATTAAAAATGTTAAAGGGGCAACAGGCAACAACAAAGCCAAACAAACGGGGAAAGGGGAGGCCCGGGAGGGGGCGAAGGAAGAGTCAAGGTGAACAGAGTGCAGCCCCCTCTCCCTCTCTCCACCCCCTCTGTCTCTCTCTCTCTCTCTGATCCTTGCTGAGGCCGAGTCCGAGTCCGGGAAAGGAGGCAATCCCTTGGCACGCATCGGCCTTGCTGAATGCATTTCCCTGAGACTTTTCCTTTTCCTTAACCTTTTCCTTTGTTTATTCAGTTGACTGCACCCCCCCACCGCCCCCTCGCCCCCTCCCCCCTGCCAATGGGGGAGACTGCCATAAGTCACCGATTGGTGACAGGCTGCACAAAAGTGTGTGGCCTAGTGCGACACGCAAAAAAAAGTACTATGCGGTGCGTACTGGAAAATGGAAAATGGAAAATGGGTTACGAGTGCAAGGCTGGCACTGTTCCGCCGCTGCCCAACGTAATGGAAAGCCATAAAAACGATTTATGGCATCAGCGCCAGAAGGAAAGCGGAAAAGAGGCCAAACGGGAGCCCAAGGTTACCCCCCAAGCGGGGGCTTTAACCAGAGTCCCCCCTCTGCACTTCATTGTGGCACAGAATTGTATGTGGAAGGCTTTATCGTGTTCTTGATTGAGTTTTGGGGATCTCCCTCCCATATGACATCTGTCAGAGGCTCTCGTCTGATTAGCTATTTGTATTCACGTTACCCCCAATGTCCCCCCCTACCCCAGGGACTGCCTGCAATTAATCGCTGAAAGGATTACACGCCTCCTCCCCCTTCTGCTCGGTCCTTGGAGGCCCTCGATGGGCGAGCGCCCACTTAAATGATGCTAATTTATGGCCCTGGCATTTCGATACAGGGACGGTGACAGGACTCTGCTCATTTGCTGCTCGGTTTGTCCCCCAGGGGAGGGGGGAGGCTTTCGGCAAAAGTTTTATAAGCCCAGATTAGTCGGAATTGTTGGCAGACTTGTCTGCTCGCTTTACAGAGAATCATGGCGGTTTTGGAGAGGGAGTAACAGGGTCTATAGAGTGGCAGAAACTAGAAGGAGAAAGAGCGAGAGGCAGGGGAGATTCTAGCGTAGAGAAAGGAGAGCCAAGGCCTCTGGGATGTCTCTCAAGCCTTAACCCATTTGAGGGTCCAATATTTCAGAATAATATATGGCGGGGGGGTTCTTTATTTATGTAAAGGGATTAACATTTGCACTTAACATAACTATCGATAAGGCCTAACAGATATTTGAAAGGCCTAACCGATAGGGGGCTATCGATATGACAGTCGGTTTTTGGAAGCAGAAGCCAAAAAATTGATCAAAAGTCGCGAGAAAAGACTCAATAATCTCGTACTTTGCACTCTTTTTCGATCTAAGCGATACTTTGTTATAGATCTTACATTTATTTAAGGTTTAGTAGCTAATTTTTCAGTCAATGTTCAAGGAATGTGGTTTAAAGACGTATTTTCTCCCACTCTCGCGTTTCCGTTGTGGTTTGCCTTCTTTTCGTCGTCGTTTTTCTAGGAATGGGATCTAGGGATCGTATCATTGTTGCTCGTCGTGTTTTCTAGGGCTAGGATCATCGTTTGGTTGGGATTAGCCCACCAAAATAAAGGCTTCAACGTCTATCCTGTAGGCATAAACATTATAGCGGTGGGGTGCGTATTTAAGGATTGAAACCATTGGAGAATCCCCTCAAATATGAAGCCATAAGGCATTTGATCAGGTAAATTGCAATTGGGTGGCTAGTGCACTCCAAGCCAGCTCCAATGCACCCCCCATCCAGGTCCTATCCCACCCCCACCTCATCCCCTTTGTTGCCTAACCAGCGGGGGGAGGCACACGCTAATGAACTGCGACCGCCAATTAGCCAAAGGCCAGGGCCTCCGCTTTCAGGCCAAATGGAGCCAGAGCCGACCCCAAGGGCGGGCGGCGGGAGAAGAAAAAGACAGACAGGCCCAAGGGCTGGGGGAGTACATTGAATTTGAGGTGTGATTATTGCGTCAATCGCCCTGACAACAATCCGGCATGTTGCAGGTGGCTGAAGGGCCAGAAGCATAGGCAGAAGCAGGAGAAGTGTTATCCGATTTGCCGCATTGAATGATCTCCGAAGAGTCCAGGTTCAGGCAGCCGAGGAGCATCTTGAAGACCCCGTCCAGTTTCTTGGGATCCATGGCGATGAGGAAGAGCACTAGAGGGGAGGAGAGTCAGGCGGTTGAACGGAGGAGGAGGCGAGGCAGTGCTTACCTCCCGCCAGGGCTGCGCCCACAATGACCATCTGGAGGACCGAGGGAATGGCGATGTCGTTCAGGGACACACGGACGCTCGTCTCAAGGTTCAGCGGCGGCGAGTCCAGGGGGTCACAGGTGGGGCACGGAGCGATGCTCTGGTTGGCGGCACTGGCCGCATTGGAGGCACTGTACCTGCCGCTCGACACGCAGGAGACCACCTGGCTGGCGATCATCCGCTCGGCGGCACTGCGGATCTCCGACACGGCGGCCGTCCGCAGCGGATTGGCCGGCGCCGGCGCCGGCGCCACCGCCGGCTCGGCCTCGTACTCGACGTTGATGCGCACCACGGCCAGCCTGGCGACGGGAATGTCCTTGAAGATGGCCAGGATGGACTGTTTGTTCCCCTGGACCCCGGCGGCGGGGGCGATGGTCGAGTAGACGCTGAAGTGATGCGGAAACTGGCAGTCGGCCTTCGGCTCGGCGCCGTTCAGCCGGACGACCACCTCCAGGCAGCTGAACGGCTCGATCCGGCCGAAGAAGGGCGTCACGTGGTACTGGTCGGCGGCATTCGTCTTCATCTTGAAGATCACCGGCTGCTGAAAGGTGTTCAGGAGGGTCAGAGTCCGCTTCTGGCTCCGATTGGCGGGAGAGCAGAATTTCAGGCACGTCGGAGACGCCGACAGAAGGTCGTAGACGCCACATGCCTCGTCCTTAAGCGATGGATTATTGCCCGCGTTAGCCATGAGAACTGAGAATTTCCCCCCCGAAGTGGAATCGGAATCGGATTTGGTAGCGAATCGGCAAATTTTGGCTCAAATTTTGTTCGACAGGCAGCTCGTACCCCGTGCCCCGTCTGACTGAAAAGGCCAGGCCCCCCTCTCCCCTCCCAAAGCCCCCCAAATGAGAAGCCCCTCATGGGTCAAAGAACAAAGACATTTATTAGAGCTCTACTTTCGGGCTTTTCCTAGGACAGAATGGCATGCATCAGATCCACATAGTTGACCAGGCCCTGATCGTTGACCCGGTCCTTGAGGAGCCCCGCCATCTCCTCCTCGGACAGGGGCTCGCCGCATTCGGTGAGCAGGCGGCGCAGTCTCTCGGCGGGCAGGAAGCCCGTGCCCTGCTCGTCCAGGAGCCGCAGGCTGCAGATGTACTCCTCGGCCTTGCCCCTGGCCTGGCCGGGGTCCACGATGCCCGAGTTCTCGCCCAGCCCGAAGTAGATGCCGAGCACCAGCTCGAAGGACAGCCGCTCGATGGACGCCGCCTGCAGCTTGCGGACGTGCCGCTGCACCAGCGACTCCGGCGGATTGGCCCCCATCGCCCGCAGGCAGTCCCCCAGAAGGAGCACGGATATCTTGCCGTCGCCGTGCAGCTCGTAGTGCCGGAAGGCCTGCTGCAGCCCCGGCAGGTGGCCTTCGGGGCTCGACTTTGGCTTGGTCTCTTGTGGCATGAAAAGGTGGCCTCAATGGGGGTATAGAAAATATATATATATGGACTTTTTGTAGGTTTTGTGTCCAGAATTTTTGTGGCAGAGAAACAAAGTTTTTTTGAGTGGAAAAAAACGATTGATTGATACACAAATTTGTGTGTTCTTCTTGGGGAGGCTTCAAGCGTTTTCCCTGGACACTTTTTGAGTGGAAATCCAAGACAGCGTCAGGTAGCTTTTGTAGCCCTGAAGATGTATCTTTTGTCTGCACAAAATCGTACTTTGAGGCGACATAACAGCCGTATGGAATGGGAGAGAAATGGAAGAGAAATGGAAGAGATTTGTGCCATAGAAGCTTCACTTCACTCTAAGGACCCGTCTCGAAGGCTTTCCAGATGCAGAATTAGGCTTAGACTGGCCCCCACCACTCCTTCAGAGCTGCCCCACAGGAAGATACAAAAATGTCCTTCAAAAAATTAGTTCCTTTTCCAGATACCTAATACATAATTTTGCTAAATTTCTCCACTTGAAGAATCATTAAAAAACCAAGGTTTTTGCGCATCAACTTTTTTGTGAATTCTTTAAAAATAAAATAAATTATTATTCAAATTTTAAGGCAAGAATGGAGGGGCGTCTAATCTATTGACGATAATCAAAACAATTGAAGGCCTAAACAGGGAATTGTTTGAGTTTTTATTCGTGTCAAAACATATAGGCCCTGTTTAAATGTTTAAATAGGCCTTCAAAGACCAAGAGACTCCCCAGCCCTCTTTATATAGAAACTGCCTGGTTTTGCCCTCCGTTTTACCCACAAACCAAAGTCGAGGCAACTCCTTCAAGCCTGCAGATTGGAGCAGGCGAATGGCTGGAAGATTCGCTCAGGCATGACTGACAAATCAACGAGGTGCAGGACCAAGACCAGGTCCTGCCAATGACCACAGGATGGGTCCTGCATGGGTCCCGGCTCCTGTGTGACTGATTTTGCAACCAGTTTGCACTCTGCTTGAGCGCACTTCATGCAATTTGATGTTTATGGAATTATCACGAGCCACCAGGGGGGCGGGGGGGGTGGAGGGGGAGGGACCAGACGGATGGCCATCGATGGGTGAGTCCCGGCCATCGTCCTGTGTGCCATTTGCGACACACTTTACTCAGTTATCGTCTGCGGTGGATGTGCCTGCCAGGGGATGGCGCCTCCTGCCTCATAATGCACTTTGCATGTTAAATATTTAATTAAATGAAAAATAGCAAAAACCCTCGACAGTGGCTGGGGCCTCCGTGTGTGCTTCTGGAAGGGCAAAAAACCAGCAAAAAACACGTTCATTTGTTTCGTGGCTGCCGGTGGCTGCTGGTGGCTGCCTCCGTGAGTCAGTCTTCATTTATTGTAAATGAGTTCCAGGCTGTGGGCTCCATGGAGGAGCCGAGGCTGTGGGTTCAGGCACCACACACAAATGGCATTTCAATTCAATTCAATTCCAATTCCCAATGCAAATAATTTGCAGCCGAATGGCATTAATGCCGCTGAAATGCGATGACGAGGAGGAGCCCTACAGACACGCCCACACGCCCACACGCCCACAACCCCCCTCCCATCTGCCCGAACATGTTAATAAAATTTCTTTAATTTCTTTAAAGCCAAATGGTTTTATTTTTTCTTTTATTCAGGAACGTAAATTTATTTTTTTTGGATTTTCACTGAGTTTTTTTTTGCTATTTTTTGGGCTTGCTATTCGCAAGGCTTCTGTATGACGACGATAAAGTAGTCGTCCTTGGGGCAGAGCATCACCTCGTGGTAGAGGGTGCGCATCCGCAGGGCGGTGAACTCGTTGGTGCCGTCCAGATCGAGGACCACCTGGCGGGCCTTCTCCCGGAGGGTCTGCATGGTGGCCGCATAGTGCACGGACAGGGTGTTGTCCAGCGTGGTCTTGATGGGTATGCCGTCGTTGTCGATCACGATGATGCCCACCACGTTCTTCAGGGCCTGGAAGCGCTTCAGCATCTCCTCCACTTCGGCGGACATTTTACGGGGCTTCGCTGCTTTTCTGCTGTGTTTTTGTCGAGAGAATTATATTCGATTTGTTGTGTTTAGACTCGGAGTCGGAAATATACTGGGGAAACGGCCCTGCCAGTGAGTGGGGGGGGGGGGGGGGGGGCAGTGAGTGACATTTCAAGGCCCACTACGTACTTTTGTTGTTGCCGTAAATAAGCATCGAAGTTCGTAACAATCCCGGATGTCTGTCTGTCTGTCCGTCCGTCCGTCTGGCAAAAGTTTCCCTTCCCTTCCTTTCGTTTCGTTTTGGGAAATTAATTGAATGCCGGGAGGCGGGGCTCTCGGAATCGCAGATGAAATGTTTGCATCAAGTTTTGTGCGGAAATTATGCCACTCTTCCGGACTCGAAGCCGGACTCGAAGCCGGACTCGGACCGGCGGCAGCCCATCGGGTCGGTAGCTTGTTATGAAAAGAGTGTAAAATTGTTCACTTTTCAATTAATTAAAAGTCTTAAAACTCATAATGAAATTACTCAAACGAGCAGACAGCCGGCAGACAGCAGGCAGCAAAGGACTCCTCCATATGCCTCCGCCTCACCCCCCCCTTGGGGCTGGGTCTCGTTTCCCCAATTCATTTGATAATTTATTTAATGTCCAGGTGAAAAAACCTCAAATGCAATTTGTCAGCCAGTGCTCGAAAATGCCTCTCAAAAATGTGGAAAATAGTCTCCAACTTTGTTGTGCGTCGGGGGGCGGTTGAGGGGGGGCTGGAGGGGGCCTGGAGTGGGCCTGGAAAGTGATATAAATTCTATGGCATATTTGCTGAATAAATATTGTGTTTTATTCGCTGGAGTGCCAGAGGATTCCTCGAACACGAAACTAAAATATTTACAAATGTTCTGGCAATTTATGCAACAGAAAAACAGAAAAAAAAAAAACATCGGGTTACACTTTTTGGCACTCCGGTGTGCTGGCATTTTTCGACTATTTGATTTGTGTGGAATGCAATGTAGTTTTAATATTTATGGAAAAATACCTACAAAGAAATACAAATTATGGGGGCACGGGGGGGTGGCCTCCCTCTAAGCCCTGCCGCGGACTTCCCTGAGAGAGGAGGCCTTTGTCCCTCCCCCCCGGCAACGATTGTCGAGTTTTCTACACAAAATGTTAGCTTTTTTTCGATGTCTTTTGCCCTTTAATTTATGACATTTTAAAACAATGATTTAGCATGTAAAAGCAACAAATTAATGAAATCCAAATATCTGAAGCAAGTCCGAGCTTCCCCTAAATCGAGAGATTCCCATTATCCAAGACGGGGCTGTGAGACGAGTCCTTGGAAGTGTCCTCGTTGCGGAAGATGCCTATAAAAAGAACTGAGGGGAACGCTGAAGCCTCTGCTGGGGATTAAAGAAGCAACCTCTCACCTGCCACGACAAAAGCCAGAATTAAAAGAGTCCACAAGAACCAAGAACGTGGCCCGCGGAGGCGCTTTGCCTTCTGCGGCTCCTCCAGAGCAGGCTGCTTGTCCAGGAGCGGCTCCGCCACGGCTTGGGCTGGGACATCTGCTAGTCGCTCTTTCTGTGGCAACGCTGGAGTGGCCTCCAGGCGAACGCGTATACGGACCACGCCCATATCTGAGCGGGGAGTCCGCTTGAAGAAGGCCTTGGGGGCCTCGCGATCGCACTGTTGAAGGCCCTCGACCGGGATGTAGAAGGACTCGACGATGAACCGATGCTGATAGCAAGTCCGCGGCTGGAAGTCGAAGCGGCACAGGCTGATGAGGACCTTCGAGGTGCTGTAGGGCTCCACCAGGCCGACGGTGGGCTTCACGATGTAGTGCTGGGCGTTGTTCGTCTTCAGCTTGAACATCAGCACCTGCTCCGTGTTGTTGATCAGCGTCATCTCCTGGCTCTGGAGGCGATTGTACGGGGCATTGAAGACCAGAATCTGTGGAATGGTGACTAATGGCTCCATCTCGTTGCTCTCTCTTTGTGTTCTGCTCGAAACGGATGTTTCCTGGTTGTGTTCTCTACGAGAACTGAAATTTACTCGAAAATATTGCCCGCCTCTACGAAATTTAAAGCTATGTTTTCTTTGATTGAACTTTATAGCCGATGTCAATGTTATTTTTGACTCGTGTAATGAATCCCTGATTCTGTGATTAATTGCAAATTAATTGATATTTTTTCTCGTGTGTCGGATTTCCAGTGCTTTGTCGCCTGGCGCTGTTTAATAAAGAATAATTTATTAATCAGTGGAATCATTGGCCATATTTGCACATCGGAATAACGGCAAATATTTCATCAATTCGAGAAGGCGATAATGATATCAACGCGGTGGGCGTGGCGGGGCGGGGGGCGGGCCTTGGCTCTCGTTTAAGCTGGAAAATTCGGGTAAATGAATTATGGGCAACTGATTTAATTTTCAATTAGCTAAGGAGCACCACACACAGGCTCCTAATTACATTGTCTAACGCTGTTTTGGGTCTCCAAAATTTTAAATTATGATTGAGCAGCACGTGACCGCCCTCTGTGCTTTGTTCTTAATTGAATTTGCATTAATTACAGCCAAGGACTAGAAGACATGAGGACAAGTGTATCTCCAAGTGTGGCACACCTTCAAGGGCTCTGCGGAGAGGGGCCTGCCCCCTTCCTGGGGATCCACAAATCCACAAAATTTGATTTAGAGCGACTTTGGGAGAGGTTTTTTCTCGGGTTACAGACAGACGGAGAGACAGTTTATAAGCCACTGCCACTGGGGCAGGCAGAAGCTGGTAAAGTGTGACAGTTTTTCATTTGCCGCTCGCTTGACTCCGCCAAATGCCTGGGGATACAATTTTAAATTAAATATTATAGCCCTGACTCTGGTCTCAGCCTCATGTGGCAGCCTCTGGGCCTCTGGGGTTTTGATGAATGCGTAAGCACGACGAGGAGGAGGAGGAGGAGGAGGAGGAGGAGTGCTATCTGCCGCGTGTGGAAGTATCGGTATCTGCTGCCGACACCTCCTTTTCAGGGGATGGGGGCTTTAAAGGACGTCATCCGGCGACTGACGCAAATGATGTGCATCCGCTATCGAAATATCTTTTGGGTTAAATGCATTCCATCATTCATTCCGCGAATGGCAATACATTCAAATGTGCAGAAAACAGCATCAGATCTCTGAAAACGAAGAAAACGCACACAAACACATACATATTTTTGTGGAAATATCCCAGCAAACCAAAGGCCCACCAAGGCGAGACTTTAACCGACAAAACGCTCGCTTTGGGACTCGCATATGAAAGAAATGTGATAGATACTTCATAAACGAAAGTTAAGCGAAACTCAGACGTGTAAAACTATCGTATTAGGATCCGAAAACGATAAGAAAATTAATCACTAGTCGTTCGGCTTGTGGCAGTGAAAGTTTCATTTTCGATAGCTCAAAAACGGATCTTTAGCGAGCCTTTTGCGATATCATTTTTGGAGTCGCTTTTGATCAAAACAAATACTTTTTTTCCAGCCCGTAGCCCGACTCATTTTTGCTCGCTTTTGAGCTCGTTTGCGAGTATTTTGCGGAACTATCGCCAAAGGCGGCACGTTTCGTGGTTTGCTGGGATACGGCGTGTTTACCAATACATGCAAAGATGCGCTCTCTCTGCGCTCTCTCAGTAGCCGAACGCCAGAGTCAGAGCCAGAGCCAAAGTCCCTGGGGTACTCAAACTGGTAGCCCATCGTGGGACGCTTTCGTAGTGTGGTGGGTGATCGAGAGCACAGAAGGTACTCGATACTCGTTACTCGATACACGATACTCGCTACACGATACACGATACTCGCTACACGATACACGATGCACGATACTCGCTAGACGATACTTGATGCACGCGGATTAACCCACGAGGTGAAACAATTGAAGAAAATCAAACGAATTGTGCGGAAAAATAGCTACGAGCAACCACTGGAATCAGTTAACAGTTACTCCGGTAAGACACACCACATTTCCACGCCATTCTTGACTTCAATCCCCTCTGCCACTGCAGACGACAATACAATGTCCGCCGTGTCCGACTTGGATCGCCAGATCGACCAGCTGAAGCGCTGCGAATGCCTCAAGGAGAGAGAGGTGCGGGCCCTGTGCCGCCAGGCGCGCGAGATACTCGTCGAGGAGTCGAACGTGCAGCAAGTGGACACGCCGGTGGCTGTGGCCGGCGACGTGCACGGCCAGTTCTACGACGTGATGGAGCTGTTCCGCGTGGGCGGCGATGTGCCCGCCAAGAACTATCTGTTCCTGGGCGACTTTGTCGACCGGGGCTACCACAGCGTGGAGACCATCCAGCTGCTGCTGGCCCTCAAGGTGCGCTATCCGGATCGCATCACTCTGATACGCGGCAACCACGAGAGTCGCCAGATCTCGGAGGTCTACGGGTTCTACGACGAGTGCCTGCAGAAGTACGGCTCCGCGTCCGTGTGGCGCTGCTGCACGGACGTCTTCGACTACCTCAGCCTGTCGGCCCTCATCGACGGCAAGATATTCTGCATCCACGGCGGTCTGTCGCCCTCCATCACGACCCTCGATCAGCTGCGGTCGATCGATCGCAAAATGGAGATACCCCACGACGGCAGCATGTGCGACCTCCTGTGGAGCGATCCCGAGGACCAGATCGGATGGAGTGTCTCGCCCCGCGGCGCCGGCTACCTCTTCGGCCACGACGTCGTGGTCGAGTTCAACCACGCGAACGGCCTCGACATGATCTGCCGCGCCCATCAGCTGGTCATGGAGGGCTACAAGTGGCACTTCGACCAGTCCGTCCTCACCGTCTGGTCGGCCCCCAACTACTGCTATCGCTGCGGCAACGTGGCCTCCATTCTCAAGCTGGACGAGCAGCTGAATCGCGACTTTGTGATCTTCCATCCGGCTCCGGAGAAGTCTCGCGCCTGCCCGGCCAAGTTCAAGCCCCGTCCGGATTACTTTCTCTAGGGAAAGCCATCTTCTGGCAGACCAATAAGAATCTAAAGTACAAAGAACCATAAATAGAGCTACCACTAAAAGTATTCTACTGAAAGTATCGGCCTTTTGCCAACCAATAAATAGAAAAGGGCGTCTATTGGACCTTTCTAAAGCACCTTCTTGTATGCACTGTTGCTATGCCAGGCCATCTCTCTTTCTTATTGAACTTCCTTCTATATTTCGCTCTCTCTGTACCGCGCCACTCGCGGCTGAGACGATGCTCTCTCGCTCTCAGGCCACGCTCGCACATAAACGTCTCTATCTGAGCCAGCTTCTTTTACCCATTGCTCTATCTCTCTCTTTCTGAGCAGTTCCTTATTGATCTTCCTCTCCATCTCTCGCTCTATCGGGCCACTCGCTTCTGAGACTCTGATTCTCTCTCGCTCTCAGGCCTCGCTCTCGTCAAACACGATTTGAAAGAGTAACGGACTGCTCTACTGTGTAGTTGCCTTCGTTGCCTCTGAAGATCCTGAAGATCCTCTCTCTCGCTTCTGTGCTTCTCCTAGAATTTCCCCTCAACGACTGCCGATACGCTTTGTTCTTGTGCATCTCACACAGACATATAAAGGGGGCTCCCCGACGCTTGAATACACCAAAAATTGTTCACTTTAAGGCACAATTTAAAGAAAAAGTTGAATTTGAATTTTCATCAAATCTCTATTCAATTTAGCATAAATTAAAAAACAAGAATATCAATATTCAAGCAAAAAGATTAAGGAACAAAATTTAATAGAAATAACTCAAATTTGCGTTGTTCAAAAATGCGAGACTCGCTTTGAAAAATATTTTCTATAGGCAGTGCTGGCCAGAGGACACTGAAAAAATTCTCAAAAATCTATAAGAGTGTCCTAATTATAAAAAAAACATTTTGGCTTGTGGGCTGTCCTTTTGAAAGGACGAAAAATCGAAAATAAAAGCATCAAGGGAAGTAGGTCTTTCAAAAGGGGAAAAAGTAAGAAAATTGCTAGAAATATGTGTTTTGAGTGATTTTATGGCATAAACATGAAAAGCCGAACGAAAACTGAAAATTCCGAGACCGTTTTGGGGTCTGTTCTGCGAAAGGCATCCCAAACACACGACTCAAAATCGGTTTGGGAGACTCCACCCTCGTGGCGTGTTTATCCCTCAGCCATCCGCTTCCTGGTTCCACTTTAATCCCTGGGAATAGCTAATGCAAACTTCTATAATATTTAGCTGAAAAAAAAGGTCAACAAAGCGTAAAAAGAAAGCCTTGACATCACCTTTTTCAATCAACTAAAAAGTGTCGACCCCCCAGACCCCCCGCAGCGAGTGGCACCCACCAGCGACTCAATAAGCCGGCATTTTATTTGCATTTTTTGTTGCCACTTGTTCGGGCTGGTGCCTGCCCCAGCCTGCCGTCTGTCTCCGTGGCTGTCTGTCGCCATTTCTGCCGCTTGGATGGCCTCCCTTTTCACTCCGTCAACGGCTGCCGTCATCGTCATCGTCATCTTCGGGATGGTGGTGCGGCTTTGGCGGCAGCAAATTCATCATCGTCTCAGCACGCGTCTGTCAGGCGCTCTAAGGATACAATAAATGTCTTTCGCGGTGGCCCATTTCTCAGGAAGGCCTCCTCCCGGGTCCGGGCCCGGGTCCGGGTCCAGGGCTCTTCTGAGTGAAATACTCTGTCGGATTAATATGCAGTAGCGCTTTTTTTTTTGGTCTGCTTTCTCTTTGGTTTGTATCGTCATTCGCCTGCTGGCTGTTGGTTTATTCATTTGCCTTTTTTCTTTGGTTTTTCCCGCAGTCTCAGGTGCACTTTGGGGCTAAGAAATTAAACCACTTTGTGCGGGAGCCAAAAAGATGGCCTTGCTCGTGCCCATTTATTGGTTAATCTATATACGATATATTCTAGGGGTATCAAAAGTACAAGCAAAGATTCAGGACTGGTCCTCCGGGTGGGCCTGGGCCTGGGGCTGGGCCTGGGGCTGGGACTGGGGCTGGGGCAGGGGCAGCAGGCCCTTGCGTGGTCCCTGGAGTTGAGCCGCCTTGAAGCCCTTGTACTCGATTTTGCTGATGGCCACCGTCTCGTCGAAGGCCTGCTTGGCCAGCCAGTGCAGCACGGGGTTGTTCCACAGCTGGAGGATGGCCTGGTGGTTCGTCTGGCCGTCGGGCGTCTGGCTGTTGGCCATCTTGTGGTACCAGGACCAGAGGAAGACGAAGGAGCGCATCTTGTAGCGCCACAAGTGGTTCGGAATGGAGCGTATGATGTCCTGCAGATGGCCGGAGGCGTTGGCGCTCAGGTTCCGCAGGACATTGAAGTCGATCAGGCGGTAGAGGTAGCGCATGTTCTTCAGATACGTGATGTTGTTCTCCTCGAGGGCGACGACGGCCATGCCGAGATAGGCCTCCGAGTCGATGGGCCCCTCGGGCGGCTCGAAGTTCCGCTTCACCGTGAAGCCATCGAACCGCTCCAGCTCCTTGGCAATGGCCCGGCCGCAGTCCTCGAAGTCGCTCCACCAACTGGCCCAGCTGCGGTAGTTCCTCGCGGCGTAGACCTTCACCCACTCCTCGGCTATGGTGTGCCGGATGAAGGCATCGTCGTCGTCCTGGGCCCCGTCCTCCTCCATGAAGTGGTACTTGACCGAGTCCGCCATCTGGGACTTCTTCGCACGGATCCGGTAGACGGGGTATCGCTTGAAGAAGCGCACGGCGTGCGACATCTCCTCCGGCTGCGGCAGCTTGCGGCGTCCCCCGCAATGGCTGGCGTTGTCCAGCCTGAAGCCGCCAATGCGAAAGACGGCCTTTTCCGGACACGGGCGCTTTCCCCTCCCCCTCCCTCTCACCCTCACCCTCTCCTTCTCCTTCTCCGGCTGCCAATTATCGAACTCCTCCGCCCGGCGTTTGCGCCCCATTTCCGGGTGGTACGATTCGAGTGGCTGGAAACTGTGGCCACCGATCCCTTGGATTCGTCCGTCATTGGCCTCGTTGGATCCACCAAAGTTGCCAAAGTTCTCAAAGCTTCGACGTCCAGCATCACAGCGGGGACGACCATCAATAAACCCGGAATCGTTGTCACTGCGGTAATCCTCAAAGTCGTTCAGATATTGGGAGCTGCGATTCCCCTCGAAATTGTGGGAGCTGCCATTCCCTTCGAAGGCCTGGAATCTGCGATTCCCCTGGAAGTCCTGGGAGCTGCCATTCCCTTCGAAGACCTGGAATCTGCGATTCCCCTGGAAGTCCTGGGAGCTGCGGCTCCAATCGAAATTCGGGAAGCTTCGATTCCCACGACCATTTTCGGAGCTGCCATCCTCGAAGCTTGACCAGTGGCCAAGGCGACGGCTTTGTATCGAATTTGGGATACAAGGACGTGGATCTGAAAAGGAAAGGATCAACCCCACGATAAGCGAGCAGAATGCCAAAGGAAAGCCGCAATATTTACCGAATGGATTGAGGAGCAGAGCACGCCTGTCACTGAACATTGCCTGTCCCCCAGGAGGGTTTCGGCCAAAGATGTTGGCATAGTCGGGGGAACCACAGCGACCCGGAATAGGACCCATGGGGGAACCACAGCGACCTGGAATAGGACCCATGGGGGAACCACAGAGTCCTGGAATAGCATAAAGAGGGTCTCCATTGCGACGTCGAGCAATGGAGGGTCCACAGCGATCTGGAATAGGACCCATGGGGGGTCCACAGAGTCGTGGAATAGCATCAATCGGAGCTCCTTTGCCACGTCGAGCAACGGGGGATCCACCGCGGCGTCGACCTGTAGGAGACCCTTCTTCGGAAGGGCCTCCTGCAACGTTTTCCCGGAATATGTTCGCATAGTTTGGAGGGTCCTTCGAGTAATCCCCGAGACTGGGATCAGTGGGGGATCCTGGCGGGTTCGCTTGGAAGGCGTACATGTAGCTGGCATCATCCTTGGCGAAGTCCACGTCGCGGCGGTCGGTGCGACGTGGACTCGAGGACCAAGCGGAGTTCTGCGGCGGCGATGGTGGAGGACGTTCAACCAAGTAGCGGCCGGGCATGGCCTCTCCACGCCCGAGAATCTCATCCACGCTGGGCACGGAGCGGTCACCGACCCTGCCCGGAAAATACGGCGGACGCTGCCCGAACATCTGAAAGCACAAATACAAGTATTTTTCCCGGACTTTAATCCACTGAAACTCACGCGAGGATTCAAATTTTGGCGAAAGTTTGCGTCGGCCAAATACTGCATTTTCAAAATAAGCAAGAAAACAAAAAAAAAGGCTAGAAACTAGGCTAGAAACTATTTTCGAAACGATATTTTCACTATTTTCTTCACTGTTCTCGAATGAAGCACAATTACAACTGAGGAATAAAGTGAGACTTTTGCTTTAGGGAAAACAAAAGAAAGTGACTGCGAATATCCCGCCTACTATGTATTGGAAAACAGGCAAGTTTTTTGAAAAACGTATGTGGCAAAATAGGTCATAGGGTTGCAAGGGGATAAAAGGAGTGCCAGAGCTGCCTCTCTTTCTCTCCTTTCTCTCAGGACAAGTGCGCCCAAAATTGAGAGAGATCCCGGATAGATCCCCGCCAACAAATCAATTCTTTCCTTTTAGAAAAAGCGGTACCAAAAGATACCAGAAGAGAACATGCGGAAGTAATAGGCTCCGATATAATATATTGTATAGAGCATATTATACGATGGAACCGAACCGAACCACTGTTGGAATGAGATGCTGGCGATTTCCCTCCCGTGAGGTGGCAGTGCCAAAAAAACCAATTATTTATTTTGTTTCATTATTTTATTTACACAACTTAGGGAATATTATACAAATATTATGAGAAAAGGCATTATGCATTATACAATTTTATAAAAATATTATAACAATATTATAAATCATTATAAAATATTACAAAAACATTATAAAATATTATAAAAACATTATAAAATATTATACAAATAGTATAAAATATACAAAAATTATAAAATATTATGAAAATATTATAAAATATTTAAAAAATATAAAAAAATATTATAAAAATAGTACAAAATATTATAAAAATAGTAAAAAATATTATAAAATATTATATAATAATTTCCAAACCCGTTCCATCTATTTGGGTATTGGCTAGGAGATCATATATTTACATAAATATCATCAAAAAAACCTAAAAAGCAAACAAACAAACAAAAATCCTTAAAAAGTAGGTTTTGGCTAGAATGTCAGTTAGAGTCTTAATTTTAATTTGTGTACTTCTTGTAGGAGTGGAAAACCTTCCATTTCCATGCCCTTTAAGGCTTTTCCTTGAAGAAACGCTCAAGAAAATACTCTCGCGGCTCTGCCGGTGTTGGTTGGGTAATAATTTATTGCAATCACTCAACTCAACGGCCACGTCAATGGCGACAATAAAATGGATAAAATAAATGGTGCTCGTCTGTGGCAGTCGTCTGTGCAATATATTTTAAAATTGCATCCCAAAGGATGCTCCCAACAAAAAGGGAGAGAAAGCATTCGAATAAAATGTGAGCCACGTCGCGGCAAAAAAATTGAAATAAATAAGATATAAAGAGAGCGAGCGAGGGCGAGAGAGGGAGAGGGAGAGGGGCAACAATTTATGCATCACAGATACGACACAGACGATACAAACATATAGGTTTACGATCCCAGGCCCCCATGTGACCCATTCGCCGCGATAAGTGTGTTTATTTGAGCTTGTCCAATGCAATATTTACAATGCAGCGACACCCATCTTTGGGCCATGCCACACACACACACGCGTGGCAGGAGGATGGAGGCAGGAGGATGGCGGCAGGAGGATGGAGCTGTGCCTTGGGCTCGCGACTTGTGCTGTTTGCTTATTTTGTTGTCCTTTGGCTGCTGCTGACTCGGCGACTCGGCCACGCCCCTAGTCCATGGCCGCAATTAAAGCAAACAACCAGAACCAGAACCAGAACCAGATCCGGAGGGAAACTAATCTCAAGCGGCTCGTAAATTCCAAGCGGGGCATTCCTGTGGGACACCCAGGGACATTCCCCATCCCCTCGCATCCCCTACGACGCCAGCGGAATGACTAAGCTGGCTCTCTAATTCCTTCTCTTTGTTTGTTTGCCCAGCCAGGAGGATGCCGAAAGAAGTGGCCATCGCCTCGCATCGCATGTGCTGCGACAGGCCACAAGGAGGTGCCTGGTGGCCAGGATCCTTTGGCGTCATTTGCATATTAATTAAATGTCAAAAGGGTAACGGCAGGCAAACAGCTGCTGCTCGTACTCGCCTTCAATTAAATTGACCTGCGATTTGGTTTCGGATTTGGATTTGCAACTAGCCCAATCAAGGTCGATTTGGGGGGGTTAACGAAGGGAGAGAGCGGGTCCTGTAAGATAGGCAAGCACAGGAGATACTCTTGCTGACGGTTTGCTACGTTTTTGATTGGTTGTAGAAGGTAAAGAGCCTACAAGAGCCGTGTGGAAGGTAAGAGTGGGAAAAATGGGAGATAACAGTGAGCGGTAACAGTGGGTGGCAACAGGGAGAGGCAACAGTGAGCGGTAACAGTGAGCTGTAACGAGAGTTAACAGTGCGCTGTGACAGTCAGCGGTAACAGCGAGAGCGATAACAGACAGCTGTGATGAGAGCTAACAGTGATCGGTAACAGTGGAAGGTAACAGAGAGCTGTAACAGTGAGAGGTAACAGTGCGCTGTGACAGTCGGCGATAAAAGCGAGAGGTAGCAGTGAGTGGTAACAGTGAGCTGGAACCAGGCGCTGCGGTGTGTTCTGTAGCAGTGATCGGTAACAGTGGGAGGGAACAGTGCGCTGTAAAAATGCGCGGTAACAGAGAGCTGTATCTGTTAGCGGCTATATCCGATAGCGCTAACAGTCTGTTAAACTGCCTTGTTAACAGCGCTGATGCTCTTAAAAAATTCCCAAATGGAATAATCGATCTTCCACAGATCCCACCAACCATTTTCGCTACGCTTTTTCCAAGCAATATCCATAAGAAAAAAGGAAAATAGTGTAAATATATGAGGCACTCGGCTTAGAGCGAAGAAAAGATTGTGACAACAGCACCAATTGTTTGCCAAATACAGTTTTTGCCACCGAACCACAGCCAGAAATGGATTTGCAAACTAGATTTAAACTTCACTCGAAAGGCAAGTGAGTCTCCGACTGCCATCTGTGCGGGCTTACATCGAGACGAAGCTGCCAGCTCCTACTCCGGCTTCTCCGCCTTCAGCTCGTTTTCTCGATTCAAAAGGAAAATGCCATAACCCGCTTATGACGCACTGGCCCCGCCGCAGGAGGACGGAAGGCAGCCTTCCTGACAACGACAAGTGACATTTTGCGTCAATGACAAACGGGTCTCACTTTTCTTGTGGCGGGCCCCGACAGATCGTACTCCGGCTCGGGTTTAATTGGCAGCTGCACACGAAACAATTGGGCCTGGGCCTGGGGCTGGGGAAGGACACGACCGGCTGACAGGGCTACATATACCACTTTTACGCTCTGTGGTTTTTACCTGGCAAAAGTGTCTGGGGAAATCCTTAACCTCGTCCTAGACTTTTGCATATTTGAAGCATTTTGCAATTTCAGAACAGAGTCGTGTAGAAGCCCTGAGCACAGGGACAGGCCATGACTATTGTCAGTCGCTCTTTGCAAAAGATATTTGCATTTTGCGGTACAGCCAGACAGCCCCTCCATCCCAAACTTCAAAATGGAGTGTTGTTTCTCGGTCTCCAATTTCAGCTCTGCTGCCGCCTGACGGGCATTTCAGTTAATGGATATTCTTCGGTTTGACGGCGACTAATCACTATCCAAGCAAAGGTTACGCACAAATCCCAGACATGTCAATTAAGTGATGAAAATTCCCCCATCCAGCATTATCCCTCTCTCTGTACGCCCTTCTGGCTGCGGTAATTTGCCAGGCAAGATGTCTTCTGCTCCAGTCAAAAGCCAAAGTTGGCAACCGCAGCAGCAGCTGTCAAAACGTATGGGGAATGTGGGCGCTGCCACAAGGATGAGCAGCAGCGCAACGCATCACGAATAAATAGAGTGGCTGCCCTCCCCCCACTAGAGCCTCCGAAACAAGCACTAGAGGCGCCACGGCGGGGGCTTGGGGGGGAGGGGCCTGCATTTCACAGGCTGCGGCTGAGCCTCAAAAGATATGCAAATCTTTTCCGTTTTGGTGGCTGTTGACGGAATGTCTTGCTCAAATGTTTGCTCCTCTGAACTCTGAGGCACGAAATTAGCACACAAATTACAACAAAACTGAAGTCAAACGGCTCGGCGTCTGTGGAATGTGCCTTTAAAATATTTATTTATCTTAATGCGAAATGTGTGAAAATTTCGAAGGCAGAAGAAGTGGAGCTTTACTCCTATTTGGAGCTGGAAATAGTGGGATTTTGGGGGCTGTGAAATCTACTTTTACTTACGAGCCTGTTCTGTATAAAGATACAATACAAAACGATCTTAGATTCTCTTTTTTAGGTGATAAATATAACAGACGGAATGAAGCCTAGAAGTCAAGGGGAAGGTACGACTCTCAAGGGCAGAGTCGGCTTCACTCCTTCTTTCCGAGAAAGAGAAGGTGGGTCCTACTGTCCTCCAGCCTTGTACGTTGTAGGTAGGATGGGAGGGTGGATCGAGGCGTAGTTATCCAACGAAAAGTTCGGGATTGAAGTCCTTCAAGTAAGAAATGCAGGTGGTGTGGAAAAATAGGCATTTGTTTTTAAAAAAATGAATACAGAGCCTATAAAAAACGTGTCCTGGAAACCACAAACTTTCTTTCTATTATAGCAATGAATCAATCTTTACAAAAACAATTATTTCATATAAATCGGCAAGTTGCTTAAAAAGATATAGCAGTTTGAGTTTTGAAAATGGTTGAACCTATTCAGATGAGCGGCATTGTGATACATACATACATACATGCATTGTATATGTGTACATACATACATCGTATATCTCTGTGATTCGTGGAAGGGGCGGGAACGTAACTAGCTTTATGTGAGGGCCGCGCGAGAGCCTTGTGGATCGTGTGGATCGTGATAACAGCGCTGGCACAACTCTCTTAGAGCGCTGCCAGAAAGCGCTCTACCTGACTGTTAACGATAACAGGCTGTTAACCTGGTGTGCTAACAGCGCGATTGCCCTGTTACAGCTGTTCGCCTGAAATGCTTAAAAGTCTTCCAATATATACCACGTTTTTACCGAGTACCGAGTACTTTTCACTTATTTTTTTGTATAAAACCAAACGAAA